TGCTACTTTCATAAGCACGTACGGTCCGACCATGTGTTATCCTGATGACACGCGTGATCAGTTCTACACTAAGCTATCCTCCGTGATACGGTCTGTGCCGAAGAGCGACCGACTATTTCTGCTGGGTGATTTCAACGCGCGCGTTGGGCGTGATGCATCAGCGTGGACAGATGTTATCGGTGCGCATGGCATTGGTTCAGCGAATGCAAACGGTGACAGGCTGCTCTCACTGTGTGCCACTCACGGCCTGACGATCACGAACACTCGGTTTGCACTGAGTGCGAGTGATATAGCAACTTGGACGCACCCACGGAGTGGTCACGCTCACCTGCTCGACTATGTCATCGTACGTCAGCGTGATATGCGTGAAGTGCGCATGACACGTGTACTGCGTGGAGCTGAGTGTGGCACTGATCACAAATTGGTTCGGACCAAACTGTACATATATTTTCGTAAATCGATGTATTGCACTCCCGCCGTGAATCAGCGTAAATTTAACATTCTCTCCCTCGGTATTGCGGAGAAACGTACTGAGCTGGAGAAGGCGATGGCTGCACGCCTGTGTGGTGATGTGGACTGTATAGCCACAGTGGGCGACCTGTGGCACCACATTCGCGACCAGGTGACAGCTGCTGCCGAGGAGACCATCGGGCGCGCAAACTGTAAGCGGCCTGATTGGTTTGATGACAACAATGTGACGATTGACGCATTGGTGTCAGAGAAGAATGCAGCATTTGCTGCACATGTTGCAGACCCCAGTGACTTGGGGAAGAGTAGTCAGTTTCGCAAACTTCGACGGCGACTGACCCGAGAGCTCCGTTGCATTAAAAATGCATGGTGGACGGTGAAGGCGAAGCAGATGGAATGCTACGCCGAACGCCGTCAACACAAGTAATTCTTTGACTCCTTGAAGGCGGTGTATGGACCGAGATTGGAGCCGCTGAGGACACTGATCGATGGTAGTTCAGGCGCTACCTGCACCCAGACTGCAGACATAATGCAGATCTGGCGGAAACACTTTGACTGTCTCTTGAACAACCGTTCAGAGATCGACTGGCCTACATTGAATGGCCTGAAGCAGCACGATGTGAAGGCGGATCTGGCGGATACGCCGAGACTGGACGAGACGCAGAGAGCACTTGCTCAGCTGCGAAACGGCAAATGTGCCGGAGGTGACGGGATCCCACCTGAAGTATTGAAACACGGTGGACCCGCGTTGTTGACTGCGCTGCACCACTTGGTGCAACGCGTATGGATTGAGGAGGAGGTGCCTGCTGAGCTGAAGGATGCCCTTGTGCTACCACTGTACAAGGGCAAAGGTAGCAAGCAATGTTGCACGAATTATCGTGGCATCAACTTGCTGAGTTGTGTGGGCAAGGTGATTGCCCGAATCCTGCTCAATCGCCTTGTGAGTCAGATTGTGGATCCAAACGTGGCGGAAGAGCAATGTGGATTCCGTTCGGGTCGCAGCACTATAGATATGGTGTTTGCGGCTCGTCAGTTGCAGGAGAAGTGCAGAGAACGACACCAGCCTTTGTACTCGGTTTTTGTTGATTTCACCAAGGCATTTGATACGGTGAACCGCGAGGCACTGTGGCTGGTGTTGGGTAAGTTTGGTTGCCCGCGTAAGTTTGTAAGTTTAATTGAATGTCTGCACAGTGGTATGTGAGCGAGGGTGCAGCTGAGTGGAGAGACCTCTGATGACTTTACAGTTGTCTCTGGTGTGAAGCAAGGCTATGTGTTAGCTCCTGCCCTGTTTAATATCTATCTTCATGCAATGTTGTCTTGTGCTTTTGATGCGACTTGTGCTTAGGGTGTTCGTGTGGAGCACCGTATTGATGGTGGGTTGCTGAACATCCGTCGTTTCGGTGCGAGAACTCTAGTCTGTGAGACAACTATCCGTATGTTGCTGTTTGCTGACGACTGTGCGTTGTTTTCGCACAACGCGGCCGAGTTGCGGCACATGACTAGTGCTCTGGCTTCGACAGCGGCTAAATTCGGGCTCACCATCAACACAAGCAAAACTGTCTGTCTCTTTCAGCCTTCACCGGAGGTGCAATCTTCAATATTGCCGCAAATCAGCATTGGTGCTGAAGTATTGGAAACCACCTCCCGCTTCTGCTACCTTGGGAGTATGATGTCGACTGATCAGCAGCTACACGTTGAGTTGCGTAATCGCGTGTCGAAGGCGGCAGCGGCATTCGGGAAGCTTGAGTACCGCGTGTGGAACAACCATCAGCTTAGCATTGGCACGAAGCTGATGGTGTACAAATCCATGGTACTGTCCGTTCTTCTATACGGCAGTGAAACGTGGACGATGTACCGGAGGGATGTGCGATATCTCGAACGGTTCCATCAGCAGTGTCTGCGACGAATTTTGCGGATCGGCTGGGGCGCCAGTGTTGCAGACACGGAAGTGTTGCGCCGAAGTGGGATGTATGCAGTGGACTGCATACTTTTATTGAGACACCTGAGATGGCTCGGTCATGTGAGCCGTATGGATTCGACGCGGATACCGAAACAACTCTTTTAAGGTCAGCTGAGTATTGGGAAGCGGCACGTGGGGAAACCAAAGTTACGTTACCAGGACATGATCAAAGTGAGCCTCACACGTTCTAATCTTGATTGCAGATCATGGGAATCGAAGGCGGTTGATCGGCGTGCATGGCGCGATCTAATCACGAAGGCAGTTGCTGAAGTGCGGGAGAAATCCCTCATGCATGCAGAGAAGAAGCGGCAGTTACGGAAGCGGCAAGCACCGATGAATTGTACTCCATCGACATCGAGTGCATTGTGCTGTAGAACATGCGGTCGCGAGTGCCTTAGTCAGGCAGGCCTAATGAGCCATGAGAGAGGTCACTCGGGACCACTGCCGAAGCGACGACGGGTCCCGTAGTGAACGTAGGCAGCATCGGCGCAGCGTTTGTAGGCACGCTGAATTCGATTTACTAACCGCATAGTTGCATGCTAAGTCTCTTTATTTCAGGTGGTGGGTTTTCGGTTCTCTCCTAATGCCTTTCTTTCTCATACAAATGTCTAGTGGGCCATGCGCTGTGCCATTTGGGGCCACTACAGAAGCGACGATGGGTCCTGCAGAGAATTACGACGAGCCGGCGCAGCGTTTGTAGGCACGCTGAATTCGATTTACTAACCGCGTGCTTGCATGCTAAGTCTCTTTATTTCAGGTGGTGGGTTTACAGTTTTTACCTTAATGCTTTTCTTTCTCATATAAATATCTCCCTGTACTCTATTCCATTAACTTGCGCACATCGCTTCAGCCAATTGTATTCGATTTCCATAACATTTTTGTGTTCGTGGCATACCGTGAACTATACTTCCTGACGTCGTGCACTTAGCTAGGATTTGTTTGTAAACAACTTATTACGTATGCTATTTAATTAAGGTTTATGTCACCGTTTCCTTATGCATTAATCGAGTTTTTCTCTTTTTCTTTCTCTCTCTCTCAAGTGATTGGCTGTTGTTTGATATCCCCGGTGTGGATGCGCTTGATGTGCATGTTGACTAGGTGCCTACCTGTCTATTACCCACTACCTCGTCCATACTGGCTCCAGGAGACAGTTGGTCGTTGCTGGAGGGGACGGGGTGCACGGTCCTTGTGGCCGTGTTAGGCTCGAAGAGTGGTTCCATGCACGCAGTGTGGAGCGGACTACGGTCCAGCCACCGCCTTGTGTGCGCTTGATTCCCAAATACAGTGTGCTTGTGTTTGCCTGTGAAGGAGTGTGGGCCGGCTCCGTTGATGGAACGTGGCTCCCATCCACATGTCTCCCGGTCTTATTCCTTCGGGTTTACACTGGATATGAGGTGTGTGGTTGGAGCTGTGGGTGGTGCAGCGCAAGCCATCCATGGTCCCTCTGTAGGCGCAGGCGTCCTGTGGGTGGCCACAGTGACAGGCAAATCCGAAACCGGATGCCGCCAACCATATATGGATGTATGTAAATATACTGATGTTGCATTCTTGATGCTTCTTCACCGCCGTTGGGCTAAACCAACTTACACTTAAACTAGGTCTTTTTAAGTTGGATACATTTCGTTCCACTTTATTTGGTTTGTTCTGCCTACCTGAATAATGTTCTATTAACTGGCCACGTTGCTTACGCTAATTGCGCTTATCTTCTGTAATTTTGTTGCGTTTGTAGCATTTTTAAGTGACTGGGCATTTCTTACTTATCGCAGATTCCTTGCTAACCAACTTACCTCATATGGTAATTTAGGGAAGTTAGGGAGTTATGCCACCTTATCTGTATGCATTATTGGATTTATTTTATTTCAGCTTGTCGTTTAAAGTGAAAGGCTGTTGCTTGATATCCCCGGTGTGGCTGCGCTTGATGTGCATGTTGACAAGGTGCCTACCTGTCTATTACCCACTACCTCTTTCATGCTGGCTCCAGGAGACAGTTGGTCGTTGCTGGAGGGGACGGGGTGCACGGTCCTTGTGGCCGTACTATGCTCAACGAGCGGTTCCATGCACTCAGTGTGGAGTGGACTACGGTACAGCCACCACCTTGTGTGCGCTTGATTCCCAAATACAGTGTGCTTGTGTTTGCCTGTGAAGGAGTGTGGGCCGGCTCCGTTGATGAAACGTGGCTCCCATCCGCATGCCTCCCGGTCTTATTCCTTCGGTTTTACACTGGATATGGGGTGTGTGGTTGGAGCTGTGGGTGGTGCAGCGCAAGCCATCCATGGTCCCTCTGTAGGCGCAGGCGTCCTGTGGGTGGCCACAGTGACAGGCAAATCCGAAACCGGATGTCGCCAACCATATATATAGACGTTTTACAAAAGTAGTGTTATTTACTCTTAGATCAACTAATGCATAACAACCGCGTATGCAGCGACAGATATCTGGTTCCTTTGCACATTTATGTCTACTGGTTATATCTGAAACGGAAATGCATTGTTATAGGATGTTCCGTTTATGTTGAGCAGCACGAAGCATGTAAGCTAGAGCATGTAGAGAAAACCTATTTCAAGCTTTAAATCAGCATTAGAGTTCATTGAAACAGTTTCATAGTTTCTTACGACTGAATAATGGTAGCATTTTTTACGCAATGTTATATTTCCAAGTTATACTATTTCTACTTTGACGGACTGATGTATAACAGCTTTATATGGAGAAAAATCCATCAGGTTCATTTGTCGGTTGATGTCTATTGGAGTGAGTCATCGTTATATCTGAATCGAAAATGCATTGGTATATAATTTTCCATTTATGTCTGACTTCAAAATGTATGTAAGCTAAAACAATTAGAGAAATCGTTTTTCAGAATTTTCATATCAGTGTTAAAGTTCCGTTAGAAACAGTTGTAAAATCACTCGCAACAGTATAATGTTAAAAATTTGTTGTGCTGTGTCATATAGGAACTGCTCTACGTTTCCTTGGAACACCATGTTGATACGCAATTTAAT